ATTAGACCTCCAAGATGCATATCTCACCATCCCCATTGCAAAGGAGTGTGAGCATCTCCTACAATTCAGTTGGGACTCCCAGACCTGGAGGTTTCAGTGCCTTCCGTTTGGCCTATCGTCAGCACCATGGTGCTTTACAAAACTGCTGAAGCCAGTGGTTGCGCTGCTGCGCAGCAGGGGCGTCCGCATGATCATATATCTGGACGATATGCTGATCATGGCCCAAGACACCCTACTGCTACAACAACACTTAGATTGGACAGTAACTTTACTACAGAACCTGGGATTCCTAATCAATTGGGAGAAGTCGGTACTAACCCCCTCCCAGTCCTTAGAATTCCTAGGGTTCGAAATAGGGTCGGTCTTAGGGACCCTAAGCCTGCCACCCACAAAGATGAAAATCATCAAGAAGGAGATCCGCAGAACATTGGCTCAACCAACACTTACGGTCAGACAACTAGCCAGGATAATTGGACTCCTTTCCGCTTCCATACAAGCGATCTTCCCAGGGCCTTTACACTACAGGGCCCTACAGCGACTAAAAGCCGCACAACTGCGCTCAGGACACTCCTACTCAGACTCTGTGCCACTCGATCACACAGCCAAGGAGGAACTCAGGTGGTGGCTGCAGCACATGGAAGCATGGAACGGCAGAGCAATCTTCGGCAACAACCCAGATTGCGTAATAGAATCAGATGCCAGCACACGGGGCTGGGGAGCGCGCTGTGGACATACCTCCACGGGCGGAAAATGGTCCCAAGCAGAAAGGACACTACATATCAACTGCCTGGATGACCAGTTGTCACCGCAGTTTACGCGGACAAGTTCTTACAAGTTCGGGATATGGGAAAGTTCGACACAACGGATGAAGTGTTCCAGTGTCTTCTCAAGTTATAATGATACAGCTTCGGCATGACCAAAGAAAGAGGAAGAGGAAAGGTCACATGAATAGTTATAGATAGAGGGACTGTTCCTATTGGTTAAGGGTATGATGTTGGGTTAACCCTTGGAGAACCTGTTAAAACTTTTTTCTATGAATGTTTATACCTTCTCTTTGCTGCTGAGGTATAATAAAGAAAGAGATAAGCATAATATTCGCCTCCGTGTCCTTTATAAAATCATGACTTTACGTCATGTAATTAGTAAAATCTGGAAATTTCTAGCTTTAGTCCAATGACAATTTGGCAGTCTATCAAAATAGATCTGAGTGATGGAAAATATCCCCCTGTCTGTCATTTTCACTACAGATGCTTCAATTACTGGATGGGGTGCCACCCCTTTCACACCACAAGAGGGTTTTGGAACAAAAACGATCGTATTCAAATGTAATATCTATTTTGTAATACTTCTTTAATTGGAACTCAACTGCAGAATTTCCTGATTGCAGCAACAATAAGTTTCACCTCCTTTTATATTGATATGAAACAATGGTCACTGTACCTTTAAATACACATGAAGGAAAAATTAGGCTTTGTAGCAATCCATTATGAATAAGAGGAATAATTAGACAAAGTGACACTTTAGTGAGCTTTAGATACTGTGTAACATAAATAATAGAAATTGGCTTGTTTGGTAAAAGTATTACTTAACTAAAAGGCAGTTCTGGCACTGGAAGGGTTACTTCACCCAATGAAGGAGAAATTAGAAGTCCGTTTCAACAAGCTGAGGTCTGGGAGTGGAGAAGGTAGAATTCAGTGTTACAAGCCGAGGTCTAGGAGTGGAGAAGGTAGAAATCCGTTTACAAGCCGAGGTCAAGAAGTGGAGAAGGTAGGATCCGTTTTACTAGCCGAGGTCTAGAAGTGGAGCAGGTAGGATCAAAAGTAGAGCAGCTGATCTTTCTGCAGCACCTGTGCGAATAATCCAGCCCTTTGAATCTGGCGCGGTCTTCCTAAGTATCGCGGAGGGACCGCGTCAGAAAAAAGGGCGGGGCTGAGCGCCGTGAACCCGGAAGTGGGTTCCGGCGACGAAATACATGCCATGCTATACCTGACAGTACCCCCTTCTCATGGGGCATCCTCTGGGTGCACTATTTCGGTTTGGAGGGGTAGCGTTTGTGAAAGACAGTAACTAACCTCCTAGCATGTACATTAGATGAATCTTCCCAAGTGTCTTCATCAACTCCATAACCTTTCCATCTGATAAGGTATTGTAAGGAGCCACGGTGGACACGAGAATCCAAAATTTTGTGAATTTCATATTCTTCTTCACCTTGGACAATGATAGGTTCAGGAGTTGTTACTATTTCTCTATAAAAAGGATCAGGGATGTGTGGTTTAAGTAAGGAGACATGGAATACTGGATGAAGTTTAAAACTTGGAGGAAGTTTTAGTTTAACAACGTTATCATTAATGATAGTAATTACTTGAAAGGGACCAAGAAAAGGAGAGCTCAATTTCTTTGAAGGACGGCTTGTGGTAATATTCCTTGAAGAGAGCCAGACAAGATCCCCTACCTTGTAAGGAGGGGGAATTCTTCTATTATTGTCAAAAAACTTTTTCTGGTTATTTTGGGCGAGTTGAAGATTCTCCCGTAATTTGAGAAATAGAGAAGACATAAATTCGTTTTTTGATGTAACAGTAGGATTGGATGAAGTAATGGTTTGGATGGGGAATGAAGACGGATGAAAACCATAGTTGGAGAAGAAAGGAGTCATTTTCGTACTAGAATGAATGGTATTATTGTAAGAAAATTCGGCCATAGGTAACCATGTGGTCCAGTCATCTTGGAGGTATGAACAATAACATCGAAGATATTGTTCCAAACATTGATTAACCCTTTCTGTTTGCCCATTAGTTTGGGGATGATAAGCGGAAGAGAGTTTGCGTTGAATTTGAAGGGAGAGACACATCTCTTTCCAGAATTTGGAGGTAAATTGTGTCCCCTATCAGAAATAATTTCTTCAGGAAGACCATGAAGTTTCACAATATTGTCAATAAAGACCTTAGACAATTCTACAGAGGAGGGTAATTTTTTTAAGGAAATGAAATGGGACATTTTTGTGAAGCGATCCACAACGACAAGAATAGTGGTGAAATGTTGAGAAGGTGGAAGATCAACGATAAAATCCATAGAAATGGATTGCCAAGGTTTTTCTGGAATAGGTAAGTTAAGTAGTAATCCAAAAGGTTGATTATGTTCTGGTTTAGACCTTTGACAGATAGGACATGTTTTGACATATAATTCAATGGTTCTATCCTGGCGAGGCCACCAATAATATCGTGAAGTTAGTTCAAGTGTTTTCTTTATTCCAGGATGTCCAGCTAGGGGTGAATCATGAACCATCTTAAGTAATTTATTCCTAAGAATGGGAGGAATATAAATTCTATTTTTAAAATAAAATATACCATCCTTTTTTGTTAGTATAGGTGTTTTGGGAAGTTCAAGATCCTTCTGATTCAAATTCTTTATGTCATCATGAAGAGAAGAGAGGATCCCTATTATTTTGTTAGGAGGATAATCATCAGTAGTAGTTTTAGAAGGAATTCGAGAAAGAGCGTCAGCCTTTTTATTTCTAGTTCCAGGTCTGTATATTAATTGGAAGTTAAATCAGTTAAAAAATAGGTTCCATCTAACTTGTCTAGCTGTAAGGATTTGTTAGTATAGAGATATTCAAGATTTTTATGGTCAGTATAAACTATTATAGGTTGTTTTGTATCTTCCAGAAGATGACGCCAATTTTCGAAGGCAGCTTTAACACTTAATAATTCTTTTTCACCAATAGGATAATTTTTTTCAGCAGAGCTCAAGGATCTTGAAAAAAAAGGCAACTGGATGAAGTGGATCTTGTGGAGTCTTTTGTTGAGAAAGAACTGCTCCGATGGCTGCATCTGATGCATCAACTTCAAGAACATATAAGAATGTTGGATTAGGTAGTTGTAGAATAGGTGCAGTTGTAAATCTTTTTTTTAATTCGTCGAAGGCCGTTTGTGCATTTTTATTCCAATTGAAAGGACGTTTACTACTGTTGAGGAGGTTAAGAGGATGTGATACATCCGAATAGTTTCTAATAAATTTTCTATAGAAGTTTGCAAATCCAAGAAAACGTTGTAATTCTTTTGTAGTAGTAGGAGCGGGCCAGTCAATAATACATTTGATTTTGGAATTATCCATCTTCAAAGAATGAGGTGAAATAATGTATCCTAGAAAAGAGAATTCAGTAACCTCAAAAAGGCATTTTTCTGGTTTAGCGTATAATTTATGAGTTCTCAGTCTAGATAGAACCCATCTAACATGCTTCCTATGTTCATCCAAATTGTTAGAATATATTAAGATATCATCTAAGTAGATAATAACACATATATCCAGAAGATCTCTAAAGATATCATTTATAAAATGTTGAAATGTTGCAGGGGCATTACAGAGCCCAAAAGGCATCACTAGATATTCGTAGAGACCATATCTTGTCCGGAAGGCGGTTTTCCATTCATCATCCTGTTTTATTCTAATGAGGTTATATGCGCCTCGAAGGTCGAGTTTAGTGAATATAGTTGCAGTTCTTAACCTTTCAATTAATTCATTTATTAGTGGAAGAGGATAACGATTTTTAATAGTTATTTTATTTAAGGCTCTGTAATCTATAATAGGACGGATGGTTTGGTCTTTATTCTTCACAAAGAAAATACTAGAAGCAGCTGGGGAGGTCGAGGGTCTGATGAACCCTTTGCGTAAATTTTCATTAAGATATTCTTTTAAAATTTCTAACTCCTTTTCAGAGAGTGGATAAATATGACCATAAGGAATAGGAGCTCCGGGTATGAGATCTATTGGGCAATCATATACCCGATGAGGAGGAAGTGTTTCCGCTTCTTTTTTACAAAAGACATCTGCAAAATCGGAGTAGAATGGAGGTATAACTGGTTCTATAGTAGTTTGGAGAATAGGAATGTGTTGTAAGCACGTTTTTTTACAGAAATCAGAAGCAAAGGAGATGGAGAAGGGAGACCACTTAATTAAAGGATCATGGGTTTTTAACCAATTAATTCCTAGAATGACGGGATAAAGTGGAGATTTAATAATATCAAATGTAATGAATTCGAAATGTACGTTGTTGGTAATCATTCTTAGAGGGATTGTCTCATCTTTGATGGGTCCTGAGGATATAAATGAACCGTCAATAACTCTGATTGGAATAAAGTTAGTTTTTTGAACACAAGGAATTTTATTTTTTGAAACAAAAGAAAAATCAAGAAAAGTTCCATTAGCACCAGAATCAATGATGGCCTCAGTCACGATTCTTTTTGTATCCCACTGTAATATGAGAGATATAGAAAAATAAGTAGATGCTTTTCTTTTTTGAAAAACGTTCAATATAGAGGTAGATGAATGAAGCTTACCACCTTTTGAATGTTTCAGTAGAGGACATTCGGAAATTAGATGTTCGTTCGAAGCACAATACATACATAAGTTTAGTTGTCTCCTTCTTATTCTTTCTTCAGAAGTAAGAGGACTTTTTATTATACCTACTTCCATAGGTTCAGTTTGTGGAGGAATTTTTTCAGGTAGTTTTAGAGTAGTGAAAGGTTTTCTCCAGGTAGAATTAGTAAGAACCCTTTCAGCTTTTCTTTCTCTTAGACGTCTATCAATACTGATGGACAGTTGAATCAATGCATTTAAGGTAGGAGGAAGTTCTGTACGAGAGAGTTCATCTTTCACAGCTTCAGATAATCCGAGACGGAATTGATTGCGTAAAGTAATGTCATTCCATTGGGTTTCTGTAGCCCATCTTTTGAATTCTGCAATATAATCTTCAACAGGTCTATTCTTTTGGTGTAATGTTCTGATGGTTAAATCAGCAGTAGTTTGTTTAAAAGGATCTTCATATAATAAAGACATAGCTTCAAAGAACTCATCCAATGAATCTAATATGGGATCATCATTTT